GAATATTATTATAAACAATAACCATGATCAGTTTCGAAGCAATTAGCGTGATGTAAGAAACCCAGCGTAACATGAAACTAATCGTGTGTTAATGCTTAAAGAAAAGTGGTGGTAGCTACCCTTATTAGGTCCGCTTGGATATTTATTAAGCGGAACTCCAACAGGCTAGCCAGCAATGGTTCGGTCAGTCGGGATTAAGGTCAGGTTCCGATTTCAACAGGGTCTAACAGAATATCATGCTAGCAAAATCTTTCTACAGGTGAAGCAAAAGCAGAGTCAGATACGAAGAGTTCAATATGAAGAATTATGTATCGATCGATTATTCCTTCCAAAAGAATAACTGTTTTTGTTGGATGGTGGTCATCTTGATCAGCTGAGAAGAAATCGCTCTGGCCAGTGTACAGGAATATTTCAAATGATCTAACAGCGACATTATTGAGTTTCGATTACCCAAATTCTCAACAACCGCTTAACAAACTTCAATAACGAATTCAAATTCTGAAAAACGACGAGAACTCGACGATCATTGTATGAATATCGACATGACTACGGCCAAGAACCATGCTTAGAGAAAAAAACAAGAACAGCTGTCGTTTTAGGTGTGACCATTATCGAACTCATTTCCATCCATATGTTACTTCCATCTTGAAAAAGAGTTCGCAATGCATGACCCAGTTTTACCAACAAGAGTTCCAGGACTAGCCTCACCGCAGTTTGGCAGCTACAGCGTGGAACCTCCATGAGAGTGGAAAATAATCTTAAATTACGGTAAAGGAGATTGACTGTTTTAAGAACATTGAAAAATTATTGTAGTTGCGGCCTTGAGGTTGTCCAATGCATTGCACTGTCAGCAGCAAATTTCTAAGAATTTCATGGCAAGAAATCATGGACAGTATAAATGACAAAGAAGGTTGCCCTCTAGAAGCCAGTGATCACGCACAGTCTGTAAACAGTAGCTGTTTTGAAATGTCAAGTTAATCTTCTCAATAACTTCTAATAAAGCTACCTATGAAATTTGCTTACAGTAAGATGCTATGCCGAGTCACGCAGAAGGGTGTGTCGGCAATTATCTGTCTATAGAAGGATTATAAATCACACAAGCGCATCTGGGTAACGTAGCAATCCACAGGGAGAATGAAGAGTCTGCTTTTTCAGATTGAGAAGCGACAGCTGTAATGTCTCCAGAAAGGAAAACGATACAGCTATTATTTGCCAACCGTCTGGTCGAAGAACTTGGAGATGGTCAAAAATAGCCTGCGGTCGACAGACTGACCGACCAACCGAAACCGGTTTGCCGCAAGTACATCTGAACACAGTGTGAATCTTGAAAACACCAGAGAGACTGATATAGATAGCCTACTATAGCCTGAGAAGCATTTTCTAACATTCTGTTGTCATAATCACAAACAGAGGTTACCATTCTAATCAAGAATTTTTATACTTTGGAGAGATTACAGAAACAGAATTCGTTAAGATAACTTTCGGCTGAACTCAGCTATATCTGTCACAAATCACAGTCGTTCAACGCTGGATATGGAGGTAGTTTCTGAGATAGAGTTTTACTGATTGTTTCGAACATCTTCGCAGGTTCATAAAACCAACGAATGATGCGACAACCACTTTACATCCATGCTCGCTTTTCGAAATATAAAATGCCTAAGGGGTCGGTTTGGAACGGCGGAGGTATGCCTTGATGGAAATGGAGCGGCCTTCGTCTTAAGCATGAATTCCCTTCAGCAGGAAATTGATTCGTTCTTCTTCTGGCTTTCTGTCCAACAGGCTAATTATTTTCAAAGGCATCAGTATTGATGGAGAGCAGCTAACTAGCTTGTTATTTGCGAATGACCGCGTCGTCTTTACAAAATACTGAATGAAGCTCCAATAGAAGGTCAAACTGCTGCAAGAAGAATCACTCACCAGTGGTTAGGAGGTCAACCTTTCCAAAACGAAATGGACACGAAACCAACACTTCTCCGAGGATTCTGTTTAAGTGAATGGCGAAAATATGCAAGAAGGCACAAGCTGTACATATCTAGCCCTCAGGAGAGCCGGATGAACCCGCTAGACGATGAAATCAGCGGAATTAGGATTACGGCATTGGTCATCCTTAATCACATTAAAGCATGACTATTCCACAACGAGCTGCCCTTGTGCACGAAGAAGGAACTGATCAATTCAACTGTCCTACACGCCATGATCTACATTGCTGGATGTTGGTCTGCTATTAAAGCTGATGAGAAGAAACTGGTATTAATGCTAAGATCGATGGAGCAAAAAATATGCAAATTGCAAAGTGGTCTCTCTGAGATCGCGTTCCCAAATGTACAAATTGAACAACGAGCTGGATTAACAGACTTTACTTGTTACTTCTGATGACAGTACTGGATGTGCAGGCCATGTGGCTCGCCTGAGAAGCAGATGGAAGACGTCAATGATTAAAAACTGGGATTCGCTTGACCACTGACTTCCAATACGTTGGACGATCCGATGGTCAAATAACGTGGTCAATGGTAGAGGCAAATTGCGGAAAATAGAGAATTTTGGAGGACCGTTGATGTGCGTTCATGGAACACCATCACGAGCACCAGTTTGGCAACTGAAGCTGAAGGAATTTACTACAAAGTGTTCATACGGGGGTTGCTTGGTCAGCAGAGCATCGAGCAGAACTGAGATGTCTTGAGTTGAGTACCGATCGGTGCTGCGTCCCTTTCTTTTTTCCGAGGTTGATAAATCGAAACCAGTCTGCAGAGATAAGCAAGAAAACATACACTATGCTTGAATATATCTGCTCCCAACTCCACCATTAAAAACATTTGGCATCCGCGTCGGACGACATGAAAATTGAGACCAGTGCCTCACAATTGACCTCATGAAAAAGGGTGTTGGAAAGTGTAACGTAGGCTGAACAGTTAAAAAATTTCCTTTACTTTGCTTTGCTTTCCTTTCCTTTCCTTTCCTTTCTATTAACTTGATGAAACTAATGTTCACTAATTAGCTTCTACTCCTTCAGCCTTTATAACCTGTAACGGCATTGTCGTTGTTTGTTGCATCGTTTATCTAATGAGAATGCTACGCCACACTGGTGGCAGTTGTACTGGCTATTCGGATAAACCTTTTCTTCCTTTTCTCTTGCTTTCATCTCTGCTACAGAAACGGAATATGTGTGTTTAACATTCTGTTTAGCTTTTGGAAATCAGGCCTTATTTGCAATAGTAAAAATAATTCCAACAAAATGAATAATGTCTAGAAAGCACTCTTTTTATTGAGTTTCCAGCGAACAATCAAATCATAACAAACAGACGCAAAGACATGAAATTTTTCACTCAAAGATAACTTTATATGCTTCATAAATCAATTACTCCGAAGGCCATTTTAGAGCACGAGTGTTTACAAATTCAATAAAAGAGCAGAAACACAGATTTATTTAAGGGAACTCCAACTGCTGGACAATTTAATCACGAACGATCTGTCTGAAATTCTCACATAAAGCTGGGTCGATGCAGCACATTTTTGAGTTGGCATATGCAATTATCAATTTGCACAGTTAACTCACCGATGTAATAAAAATTAATTGCCTGGATTAATATTAATCTTTGCCTTCTTGTCGTCTGATCGACGATCGAATAATACCGAATCGTCACGGTATGAACCATACCCGTTGTGTAGGTGGCTTTTGGTAGCTCCGTAGTCGGTAGCTCGGGCAAGCTGTTTCAATATTCCAAATTTGAGAAGACGTATTTATGGACAGATTAAAATGGATTTTCCTTCAGTGACTCGGCATGCGCCCCTGAATCGCCACCTGGAAAGTGGCAATGGGGCTCCTCTTCGAGTACTAACTGCTAGTGCCATAGTGAGTTCGGTAGAGCATCGGTGTCAAGCCTTGTGAACCATGAAGGTATTGCTTCTTCCCTGGCGTTGAATAAGGGACAAGGAAACGTGATGGCAGTCTTTCTACAGCTCTGTTTTCAGTGACAGATTCATTGCGATTAGAGATGGGGCATGAGGTTCAGCGTTCTAATAAGTATTCCATATGTATATGGAATATGAATCCGAAATTATATGATGTCAGGGAGGTAGGAAAGCTGAGTACACTTCGCTAGTTAAGTCAGTCGACTGCTCTTCCTAAATATGTTTCTGAGATTAGCAAATGATTGAAAGGAAGTTTGGCCAGTGTGAATTTTTGCTTCTGAAAGTAAAAAAATGCAATAACGAAATATAAGATGGTCTGAACAACCGCTTATGCGCTTTTATCCAAACTGCGATATCCTGATATCACTGGCTGTCATTTCTACTCCAGATTTAATGCGTAAATGAGTAAATATATAATTGCCAACACAGCATCGTAAAAGTTTACTCCGTTTATTTCTATTCAGATGTTTCTACCTTCCCGCAGTACAACACACCCTCAGAAGTCACCGTAGCAAGGAAGAAGAATAGGAGGCTGAGTCCTTTGTAAGCAATGGTTGTAAACTTTTATTAAAATCGTGAACCGCCTATGAGCCACCAACAAAATTTCACTTAGCCATTATTTTAGCGTAAATAATGTTTAGCCCCAATAGGTGCAGCCGAATGAATCAATAGCGGTGTAAACGCTGCGTGTTGTTTGTGCAGCGGAAATTTGCCTGATGAGTGGCAAATAAGGTGGTTCAGCCTTTCAACAAGCGGCCGTTACTCATGTTCCCGCCCGCGCGGCACACTGGTCCTTCGGCAGATTGCCAGATGTGGCGGTCACTCACCGTCGGCTTAGAAGTGGGCTTCGGATCGTGCAATCGATGACCGGCCGACATGTGAGCTCCCACGGCTCCGGTTTCGTCGTTACACCGTCTCTGCCGCTCTTGATGTGATATTGAGCCCGGCTGCGCCGTCGATGACGACCGCCCTCTGGTAAAACCAATCAGAGTATTCGCTGTGAAGCCATCTGTTGATGTTTGCCGTTTCGTCGACGCTATTCTTCTCCCCTGACTCTGTCGACTTGAACGGCATCCAGTGAAAGGTCCATCCACCGCCATCCGTTAAAGTACTTGGTAGCAGTTAGAAAGTACAGCGCCTCCGCAAAGAAACGTGTAAGTAGCTAACGAAGTTTCATCTTGATGCTGAGTCAAATCGGCTGATTACGTGGTCCTCAAGACCTTGTATGCAACTGTGCTACAATGCTTTAGACATTGACCTCAGCAAAACCAGGAAAACCCGGAAAGCACAGGTTTTCAATTGCAAATTCTGTCTGAGATACTTCCTTATGTTTTCATAACAGCTTTCTGGAGGATATGGGCATTTTCACTACAAGTCGAGTGAAAAAATTGAGTGTTGTGGTTTATCCAGTCACTTCTAATGCTGGTTATTCAGATCGTGGGGATTGCTGCTTAAGAATATTATCATAACTGGTGACATCTTTGACAAGCTTTGACTAGTCATCTTTGACAAGCTTCGTCCAGTTTCAGGTCTTCTGTATAAATGAAACATTTCGTTTGAGGTCTGCCGGATATCTTTCTTCCGGCTTTCCCATGACAGCTCGCCTGAGAAATCTCTTCCCGGAATGAAACAGCCATCACAACTGCGGTCTCGGCACCAGAATAGAAAGCGGATCACAAGTGAGGGGTGTTTCGATCCTTGTTGAGACTCATTATGCCAGCAAGCCTTTGAAGATGTCTTGTTTCTGCCGCTTGCATCCGATATTGCACTGTTTCGTTCAACATCCATCAGTCCTGACCATTGGTAATGGTAGGTGCAAATATACCTTTGAAGAAAGGCAGATCTCTGTGTTAGCATAGCTTTTTTCATCACTACAGACCGATGTAGTTCTCGCCTTCTGGCACTTATCTTACTGATCAATATGTGTCTTTAAACGACATGCCAATCGTCACTCGTGGATGCTACAACCAGCGAC